TTGCCAGGGTTAATAACCACGAGCCACCAGGTGGAGGGCTACTATGTCCTCAGAAGGCACTGCTGAGCCTCGTGGCGATCCCTCCCCGTGGCCAGTGGCTTCCCTCCCTCCCACCCCCAGGATGGTCTGGCTCCCCGAGGCCACCCTGTGCCCCTCCATGCACCCACTTCTTCGGGCCTGTCCCCAGGCCTTCCCCCTGCATTTTCGTGACAACACAGGAATGATTTCTGGAGAAAAGCCGGGAGGAAGGACAGTAGAGCTTGGCAGGGACCTTGAGGGATGGTTGGTCAGGAAGCTGTCGCCTGTTATCCAGGACCCCAGGCCCCTGGCCTGTGGCCGCACTTCTCCCGCCACTGTGCAGTGCCACGCTGATGTACCCAGCAGCTGCGACTCAGGCCGGGCCCCCTGCCAGGCCCCCGTCTGAACATGTCAACAGGCATCCTGCCCCCTTCTCGGCACCAGCCCCACCCCCACACTTGGAATCAAGACCCGGCTTTGTCTGGGGGGAGGACAGCTGGGAGCCTGGCGGCTCTGGAAGGGGACCGGCTGGCCGCAGTCCCTGAGCATGTGTGGCGGGGTCACACCCAGGAGACACGTGGGGAAGCAGAGCCGTGGCTGCTGTGGGCACATGGGCCCGTGTGGGGAGGTCAGGAGCGGGGTCCACCTGGGGGGCTACCATCTGCATTCTGGGGGTGCGACATCCCGGATTCACAGGGTGGGGCTTGGGGAAGGCTCGGGGGGCGTCTACGTCCCCGAACACCTGCTCCCTCACTCACTCGCCTTAAGGGCGCCTCGAGTGCCAGGCAGGGCAGCCTGGTGTCCAGCCTTCCCATGCCCTGCCCTTACGTGAAAGCGAGGGCAGACCCGCCACAGGGCCACGCAGTGGGCGCCTGGGGGCTGGGGGGTGTCACGCCTCCCGCTTCGCACACCGTCGCGGGAAGGTGTGAGGTGGCAGGGGTTTCACGGCCTCTCCGCGCCCCCGAACGCATCATGCCATTGTCTGTGTTCTGTCCCGCCTGCTCTGAGAGTCAGCCCGCCTGTCCCAGGCCTCGGTCTCCCCATCTGTGAGGAGCAGGAGCTGGTCCAGGAGGGGCGCCCCTGGGAGCCTCGAGCATATGAACCTCGTAGTGTCAGGGCATGTGGGGACACACAGGAAAACCCCAGAGAGACCTCGTAAGTGGAAAGAGAATAGACCAGCGGGTAAACGGCAGCTGGACGCCTTTGGGAAGAGAAGTGGGGTGCGGCCGGGGCGGGGGCTCCAGGGCAGGGCTGAAGCGGCTGGGTTTGGAGAGATGGGGGAAGGAGGGGAGGGGGAGGGGCCATATGGCAGTGGGAGGACTTACTGGGACAAAGGGAGGATGGGGAGGGCTGTGCCTAAGCCAGGGGGGCAGGGACCCTGCCACCCAGCGAGCCTTGCCCTGCCCGGCCAGAGGGGGCGCCCTTTCCTGTGAGGCAGCTGTGCCCAGGGGCTCAGCGCCCTGTGCCCCCTGCCCTGCGCTGCCCTCTAGGGCCCCCCGCAGGTGCAGCCATGGGGAACTCCGTGGGCCGGTGAGGCTGGGGGGCCGAGGGGTGGCCCCTGCGGGGACCGGGCTGGGTCTGAGGGAACCCCTTGGCCATCTTCCCCTCCCACTTCTTATTTTAGCCCCTGTGTCTGCTCCTCTTGTCTCTTCCTCAGCCCAGGGAAGGAAACGGGGGGCCGCCCCTCTAGGCCTCGCGACTCGCTCCCGGCATCCGGGCCCAACGGGCCTGCGGCTTCCATATCTGGCATCTGAGCCGGGCTGAGGAGGGTGACTCAGCGGGCGGGTCAGCGCCTGGCCCCGTGCCCACCCAGCCCCTCTGCGGCGCTGGGCGCCTGCCTTCCCCACGAGCAGCCCCCAGAGCCTGGCGTGCAGAGGCCTGCAGCTGGGCTTCCCCCGCCAGCAGCCGCCACGCAGGCCCAGCCCCCTCTGTCCCCGTGCCTGTGTCCCTCGCTGCCCTGCCCTCCCCCACCCCACTCTTCCCTGCCTTGGAGAGCAGATCTGCCAGCCGTGGGAAGAGTTAGCAACAGGATGCCCAGCCCTTCTTGCCTACGAGGCTGCTGGGATGCGGCCAGCCCTGAGCTTGAGGAACCTGGATGCAAAGGAGAGCCAACCCCGCCCCCCCCGGGCATGGCGCGGGGTGCGAGGCAGGACATGGGCAGAGCTGGGTCCCCTGTGGGCATTAAAGGACTTCCCGACCCCTGCCCGGGTATTGTCTGCCCGAGGATGAGTCACCTGCGGAGCCCTTGTTCCCACCCTTCCCCGCTGCCCTTGCCTGCCCCACCCTGTCCCCCTGCCAAGCCGGTGTCCGCGGTCAGCACGTGCCCGCTCGCCCGCTGCCAGCTCCCAGTGGACTCGGCACAGGCAGCACCCCGCCCCAGGCGGCGCTCCTGGCCAGTGTCTGTCCCGGGTCCCACCTAGGGTGCCCGGGTCCCACCTAGGGTGCCCGGGCCTGGGGAAGGGCTGGGGGAGCCGTCTCGGGGAGTGCGTGTGGCTCCCTGGCCACAGCCCCAGAGTCTGAGTCATGAGCCGTGAGTGGCTCCCGCCCCACAGTTGGGGGTGCCCCCGCCTGGCCGAGGAAGCCGCGGAGGCTCATCCTAGGCCCTACTTCCCTCCCTGCTCTCGGCTCCCTCATGGGCAGGGCGGCCCAGTCCTGCCGGGCATCCCATCCAGGAGGGAAGGGGAAGTGGCCGGGACAGAGTGACAGGTGTGAGGCCGCACAGGGCTCTGCCCGGGTTTGCTCAGCCCCACGGCAGGGGCCCCCAGGCCATCTCGTAGGGCAGCTGTGCAGACCGAGTTGACAGTGTGGTGTCTGGAGCAGCACCTGGTACCTGGTCAGCTCCATACAAGCGTTGGCCATTATCGTGTTATTATTCTTACCGCCGCCCTGCTTTGGGGGGCGGCAGGAAATGAAGAGATTAGACCGAAGGGCAAATTCCTGTAGTGGTTCAATTAGGAGCTCACTGTGGACAGGGACGGTGCACCTGTCTCCTGGGTTGGTCGGCGTCTGCTGGGCGTTCCAAGGACTCCCCAGTCCCTCTGGTATCTGAGGAGGTGGGGAGGCGGGTTGAGGGGAGATGCCCTTGAGCTGCCTCCTGAAGCCATTGTGCCCTCCAGCCTTTCCCAGGGTGGGCCGGCGGCTCAGGCCCTTGCTCCTGCTGGCTCTTGGCTCTCTCTAGAGCTGTGGCTTTGGAAGCAGTGAGGTGGCAGGGGCGTCCTGGTCAGCAGCCGGAAGCGGCCGACCCGGTCCCTGCCGCGGTCCACACTGGGCCCTCTGTGCCTCAGTTTCCTTCTCTGTCAAAGGAGAGGCTTGAGCTGGACTCACTCTAAGCTCCCCCTAGCTCTAGACTCTGGGAGCCTCCCGATGGCCAGCTGCGGCCGTTGGCTGGCCCGGGTGCAGGCCGCTCCTGGAAGGCCTCGCCAGCCTCCGCAGCGACCCGGGTCCTGGGTCCCCCGCCTCCCCTGCGGCTGCCTCAGCTTCGGAGAAGTTCTGAAGTCATGGAAAGTTGGGGCTGTGCTCCCAGCCAGGGGCTGGGCCGGATGGCAGCCAAAACCTGAGCTGGGTTTTGACTTTATTTTTAGCTTTTCTGGCTGAGACGGAGGAGGGGAGACATCCTCCGGTTCTGGAAGGGCCTGCTTCCCCAGGAGACAGACACCGTTGCATTAAGCAGCTTGTTCTGAGGTGTGGCCAGAGGCCCAGACGGGAGCGCGTGTGCAGGCAGGGGTGCTTCCCGCAGGTGTTCGTGCCCTTCGCAGGCCTGTCCGGACGTCACTGTCCCCTCCCAGGGCAGCCCCGTTGAAGGGGCGGGGGCTCCCATCTGAATCTCCCAAGGTGGCCGGAGGACACGGCCGCGCCCTTCCGCGTGGCAGGAGCTCAGCGCCTCTGAGGCAGGAGGAGGGTGTTGGCAGGGCCGCTCTCCGCCTTTCCAGGGCGGGATTCTTCCCCTGCCCACGTCTGGTTTTCTCTTCCTCCGTCTGCCGTGGCGGGCTCTTCCTGGGGACTGATGCGTTGCAGATGGCGGCCGGGACAGGCCCCGTGGCGCTCCCGCAGCCCCTGCTCTGCTGCTGCCTCTCCCCACACGCCGTCACGGACCGTGACATTTGGAGGGTTCTCGGGTTCCCCAGAGGTTTTAAGGCAGTGGGACCCCTCTATTTCTCCAGTTCGGTGTCCCGCAAAACCGATCAGGGGCCCAGAAAAGGGAAGGGCCTGGCGGAGGCTGAGCGTTCGCTGGGGTCTAGCTAAGCGCCCGGTTTGAGGGGAGCTCCGAGGCCCGGGGGCCGTGTGTGGAGCCGAGGCCCAGGCCTCTGGTGGAGGGACCGGGCTCTGATGGGGCAGAGGCAGAGAGGCCGGAACCCCTGTGCTCTGCCCGGAACAGGGGGCCCAGACCAGACCTGAGTCAGGGGACCGTCCACACCACACCTCGTGTCCCCCTCAGCTCTCCCTGACCTCTCACCAGCTTTCCCTCCCACGGTCCCCAGACTGTGAAGGGACTGGGAGCGGTGACGGCACCTTCGGGGCCCCGACTGAGGACTGTTGGGGACGCAGAGACCCCCGCCTGGGTGCCTGGCCCGCGGGCAGGGAGGCCTGGCTGAGTGCGACGTGGGTGGAATCTGGGAGGAGCCCGTTAAGGCCTCGTGTGGGAAGGGCTGACACAAAGGTGGCCCTGTCTCTGAAAAGAACAGGAGCAGAGAGGGAAAGCATTCATCTCCTGGGACGCTTCGCCCTTGGCCCCAGGCACGTTCCTGAGCACTGAGTCATGGGAAGGGTGGGGAAGCAGGAAAGGGGTTTCGGGGACTGTGGGGAAGTGGGAGTCCAGCCCCAGAGGCTGGCGGGTGCCAGGAACCAAAACCCAGGACGCCCTCTCCTGGCAGCTGGAGGGACAGCAGAGCCGGGCCCCACAGCTGACCCCTGGCAAAGTGACGGGGTTCTCTCTAGGGACACAGACTCCTCCCCTTACGCCCACTCTTCCCTTGCTTCTCTAGCAATACCAAGAAGGAGGGTGACCTGATGGCCGCCCAGGCCCGGCTCAAGGACCTGGAGGCTCTGCTCAACTCTAAGGAGGCCGCACTGAGCACGGCCCTCAGCGAGAAGCGCACGCTGGAGGGCGAGCTGCATGACCTGCGGGGCCAAGTGGCCAAGGTGACCCCGCCCGCCCCGGCCCCCTCACAGACGCACACTCACGCTCAGGAGGTGCCTGGTCTGGCCTGTGCCCTGGCCTCGCAGCCTGTCTTGGCATCGTGGCTTGTGCCAGCCACACATCCTCCCCTTTGCCACCGAGCACATGCGTCTACCACGGTGACGCTAACATAATCCACAGGCCGTTTCCTCCTGCCTTTCCCATGGCTGGTGCCTGGCCCTGGTCCCCTCCCTCCCGGCTGGCCCTCCTACAGAGAGCTGCGACCCTTCCGGGGGACAGGAGAGGAGTGTGCCCTGTCCACAGAGCTCACGGGCGGGAGCTGATGCTCAGCCACACGCAGGACGCGTGTCTGTAACGCGTGGCATGTGTTTAGTGGTCTTTACTTTCAAAACGCTTTGCCGTCTACTCTGTTCATGGCCCAGCCCCTGCCCACCCTCCCCCCCGGCCCCCACCCTGCAGGTGTCAGCAGTACTGACCCTCTGGAGGACCCTGAAGTACACGTGTGCCTTCAGACCGCCGTGCCTTTGCACGTGCTCTTCTCGGCCCGGCCCCACTAACCTGCCCTTCAGGTCTCAGCCTCTTGGAGTGCTCCTCAGAGCCTCGTCTACCTCCCAGGCACACTGGCTCCCTCTCTCGTGTTCCCTCCAAACCAGGGACATGTGTCCTTTCTAGGAATTGCCGGATTGTGCCAGAGAGGGGAGGGGAGGTCTCTTTTCTGAGCATCGTACCTACCCAGAGTAGCCGCTGTGAGCGCGGAGATGGCACGGCCTCCGTGGGCACCCAAGGCTCTCTCCCTGGACCTGTCCCACACATACAAGGGGATGCGCTGGGAGCAGCCCACTCCTCAGCCCCCTCCCAGCTTGGATGTTCTCTGCTCGCTCCTTCTCAGCTCGAGGCAGCCCTGGGGGAGGCCAAGAAGCAGCTTCAGGACGAAATGCTGCGGCGGGTCGATGCCGAGAACAGGCTGCAGACCCTGAAGGAGGAGCTAGACTTCCAGAAGAACATCTACAGCGAGGTAGGCACTGCGGGCCGGGGCGTGGCGACAGGCACCGGACGTCGACCGCCTGGTCGGGGCTCAGCTGCTTGACTCCCTCCAGGAGGGTGGACAGGGCGTGGGGCGACCAGCACCATCTCCCAGGTTGAAGTGCGGCCGACAGTGGCTCCCGGGGTTGGGACCGGCGGGGAGCCTGGCTCTGGGTCGCAGCCTCTGAGGACCTAGTTCTGATCCGGGTTTGTGTCCGACCCTTCCAGGAGCTGCGTGAGACCAAGCGCCGCCACGAGACCCGGCTGGTGGAGATTGACAACGGCAAGCAGCGGGAGTTTGAGAGCCGGCTGGCCGACGCCCTGCAGGAGCTGCGGGCCCAGCACGAGGACCAGGTGGATCAGTACAAGAAGGAGCTGGAGAAGACCTACTCTGCCAAGGTGCGGCGCGCCCACAGCGGGCCGGGCGGAGGGGGGCTGGGGGTGCCCAGGACCGGGGTGCGGCGAACCCTTCTCGGGCCCCTGCAGCCCTAACCCTGTGCACCGCCCCCCACCCCAGCTGGACAACGCCAGGCAGTCGGCCGAGAGGAACAGCAACCTGGTGGGGGCCGCCCACGAGGAGCTGCAGCAGTCCCGCATCCGCATAGACAGCCTGTCCGCCCAGCTCAGCCAGCTGCAGAAGCAGGTGCCGCCCCTCCCCCCACCCAGCTCAGCCAGCTGCAGAAGCAGGTGCTGCCCCCCCCTCCGCAGGCAGCCGGGGCGGGGTGGAGGTGAGGGGCCGCACACAAAGGGCCTGGGACCTGGAGGCACAAGGCCTGTGCTGCTCCAGGACCACCCCTTAGCCGCCCGCCCAGAGCCTCGGTTTCCCATGTGTAAGTGGAGGTCATTGCAACCCTCCCGACTCAGTAGATCTGCCAGGAGCCCCGGTGTGAGGCGTTAGAAGCCACTGCATGACTCTAGCTGGGGGTGCCTCTCCTGAGGCAGAAATAGGTTCCGGCCCCAGAGCAGGGGTTCCAGTCAGACACTGGGAGGGGCCAACGGGTGGCCGGCCCAGGCCAGTTAGAGCCAGTGACAGGCCCTGAGGGGAGCCTGGGGTGCCTGGGGAGGGTGGCCGGGCGTCCTCTTGGGGCCCTGGGGAGCTCACGAGCCCCACCTGCCTCACCCAGCTGGCAGCCAAGGAGGCGAAGCTGCGGGACCTGGAGGACTCGCTGGCCCGCGAGCGTGACACCAGCCGGCGGCTGCTGGCGGAGAAGGAGCGGGAGATGGCGGAGATGCGGGCGCGGATGCAGCAGCAGCTGGACGAGTACCAGGAGCTGCTGGACATCAAGCTGGCGCTGGACATGGAGATCCACGCCTACCGCAAGCTGCTGGAGGGCGAGGAGGAGAGGTGGGTTGCGGAGGCGTCTGGGTGCTCGCAGGCGTTGGCCTGCCCACGCTTGACCTGGCCCCCAACTTCGTCTCTGTCCCCAGGCTCCGCCTGTCCCCCAGCCCCACCTCGCAGCGCAGCCGAGGCCGTGCCTCCTCCCACTCGTCCCAGACGCAGAGTGGGGGCAGCGCCACCAAGAAGCGGAAGCTGGAGGCCGCCGAGAGCCGTAGCAGCTTCTCCCAGCACGCGCGCACCAGCGGGCGCGTGGCGGTGGAGGAGGTGGACGAGGACGGCAAGTTCGTGCGGCTGCGCAACAAATCCAGCGAGGTAGGCGGGGAGGGGGCGCGGCGGGGCGCGCACGGGCCTCCCCCGCGCGCCAGCTCCCCGGGCCTTCCACAAGTGATTTTGGCTCGGAGAGCGTCAGCCTCCCCATTGTGAAATAGGCGCGAACGGGAGCCCCGACGTGGGAGGCGAAAGTGGCCAGGGGGTCTGGCACAGAAGTGCCCTTGAGTGGCTGCTGTTACCCTTGGGAGGGGGATGCCTGCCTGGGTCCCTGAGCCAGGTGAACCCCGCGTGTGTCAGCCTCTTGGAGTGCTTCCCCGTCCTCCCCTACCTTCCCCGTCCTCCCCTCCTGCCAGGACCAGACCATGGGCAACTGGCAGATCAAGCGCCAGAACGGAGATGACCCCTTGCTGACCTACCGCTTCCCACCGAAGTTCACCCTGAAGGCCGGGCAGGTGGTGACGGTGAGTGCCGGCGTCTGGGCTCTGGGCGGGCACCGGTTGGCCTGAGGACGGGTGGCTGGAGTGAGCACCCTTCTCTGATCCTCCCTCCGCAGATCTGGGCTGCAGGAGCTGGGGCCACCCACAGCCCCCCGACCGACCTGGTGTGGAAGGCACAGAACACCTGGGGCTGTGGCAACAGCCTGCGCACGGCCCTCATCAACTCCACCGGGGAGGTGAGTGTGCGCAGGCTGGCCTCTGCGGGACAAGGCTCCCTGGGGCCACGCCGAGCCAGCCGCCCGCACTCCCAGGGGAGGCTTGCTCCCCAGCAGCCTGAGGGGCGGCAGGTAGACAAGAGGGTCTTAAAGGGGGAGCATGCTCCTGCCCTCACAGTCGGGCGATGTCCCTCTGGGCTGGACACTGATTCCTGCCATCACCGCAAAGGTCAGGCAAGCAGCAGGCTGGACGAGGGGCAGGCCACGGGAGAGGCTCTCGGGCACGCTGCCCGCCCCTCCCCGGCCCTGCCCCTAACCCTTGGGCCGGGCTGTGTCCGTGGCAGGAGGTGGCCATGCGCAAGCTGGTGCGCTCGGTGACTGTGGTCGAGGATGACGAAGACGAGGATGGAGATGACATGATCCATCACCACCACGTGAGTGGCAGCCGCCGCTGAGGCCACGCCCACACCCACACCCACACCGGGCGCCAGCCAGGCCCGGCCGCCTCGCCCAGCCTCCCCACACAAAATCTTGTCATTAAAGAGTGTTTTGGAACTTGACTTGCTGCCCTGGCTCTTCTTCTCTCTCCTCCCCATACCTTGAACAGGGACCCCAGGTGTCTGGGCGCCCTACTCTGGTAAGGAAGGGAGTGGGAACTCTCGGTGCCATGGAGTACTCCCGTGGGAGCAGTGGGCCGGGGTCTGGAC